ACAACTGTAATTAGCTTGGATCATAAACTGAAGGGTCAATTGCTACCAGACTAAAATCTGTTGTTAGAATGTATAGTAAGACTTTAAAAGGTGGGTGTTGGATCAAAAGTAATAATTATATTACAACAGATTACTTTGCTAAACATAATGAAAACTAAAGCAATAATAGGAAAAAATGGATGTAGACTTTGGGGTGCAATTTCTATGCAGGGTTCAAGCTCTTTTTGAAGAGTGTAAGTTACCCTTATGTAAGTATATAAACTATAAGTGGCAGATAATATTTTTCTCCTGATTATCTCCTTTTTTATTTGCTGCAATTAAAAAAATTAGAAATCCCTTTTCACCAATTTCTTGAACAACTTAACTACTGTTTGCAAGTGACAGGTAATTTTACTTATATGCTTATAATACCTAAGCACATCACCTAGCTTTCATCGCAAACATTAAAGTTTGATATTGTCAATCAGTATGATAAGACAGGGAAATAGGAAAGGTGACCAACTGTTCATAATGTGTGCAGCATGTACCTTTTGTCTACCCAAACCCCTGATGTCTATGCTTCTCCCAAGATTTATCAAATGGGTACGTTACACTCTGAATGAAAAGTAATTCAGACTATTCTTGCCTTACTTATGATCTGTCATGAACAATCACCAAACCCCCCCCAAACTCTAGGGCAACAGACACCAAAACATTTATTTGTAATGGGGTTTTTTTGTAAGTTAATTTTAAGATATTGTAGAGCACTGCTAATGAGCTTAAATGCCTGAGTATCCCCTCCTTATATGCAAACCATGTGCTTATGTGCGATGACTTTGGCATCCTTTTCAGATAAAGGGATAAGGGGAATGCTGCTTCCATACTAGAGAGAACTGTGGCATGGTGTGGCTGTAGGGCGTCTGAAGCTACTGTTGATAAAGGTGTCTTTCATATGGGTCAGACTAACCTATTGAGATAAGTAAGAAACAAAATAGCATCTGTTTCAAACTTTAAATGATGGTCAGCAGAGATTTTTCCAAAAGGTGTTAGCAATATTTTCGTCATGAGGACTAGCTTTCAAACAACTTAGTGAAGCACAAAAAGAATCAGTCTGGGCTCTAGCGAACATAAAACCCACACACTAGAAGCCAATGGACTGTCGTGGCTGGGACTGTAATTCAGTCAGGTTGATCTGTAGAGTGAGCAGGTACAGACTGAGAGCAAATTGCAGCTATTAACTTACAGACGTGGTACACACAACCCCATAAAGAGGATAGGCTTGTTGTTGAGTATAAAATGATCATCTGCTGAAGATGGGTTGTAGGAACGTGAAATTGCTTTGTGAACTGTATTCACCTTATTCACAGCTGGTTTTCTGCAGATTGCCATTGTGATTAATGTTTCAATATCTACAAAAAGCTAGGGTTTTATACAATTAAGTAGCATCATCTTTCCTTAATTCTATTTATATTAATAGTAAAGAGGCAGTAATATTTTCTGTTAGTAATTAATATAACATATTGATAAGTTTGAGTTATTTTTCATGTTAAAAATATTTCCAAAGGATATCACAGGAACAGGAAAAATAAAAATGGAAAGTTACCTTAGTGTAGAACACCTGTAACAGATTTTAGCAACATATTGTCAGAAAATTATGTTCTTTTGTTGATGAGGTAATATAAGCCATATATACTCTAATGCAATGTAATTTAAAGTATTTTGTTGACACTGATGATATGGTAGCTTTACTAGGCAGAGAGTGTGACAAAAAGTTTAACGGTCTTCTATTATTAATTTATGAATGAAGTTTTTATACAAGAAGTAGTCAAACTTGGCGTAAGAGCAGTCTCTCGTATAACTCTGTATTAGGCAGCATTGACGTTGTTCATTAAGAAGAATGGTGCAAATGTTTTTTCCTTCTGGAAAAACTGTAAAAATAGCTTATAAACATGTAATAGATAAGTGTTCTTATATGACTGTTATGCTGGTTTCAGAAGTTTGTGCTAAGCAATGGGAAGTGTACAAAAAAGAAATGGTGTAGAAAATGCATTGTATTCTCTCTTCTGTCTCTGTTGTGAGAGAATACATTATGCTTTAGATCTAAAGTGAATGTCTAAGGTGCATTAAAATGTGTTTATTGGACTATGATTGAACTTCCTTTAAAACTTATTTCCGTAAACTCTGTTTTGAGTTAAAAGTAGGAAAACCAACTAATTATTATGATGCCTTTCATGATCATGTGATGCATAATTTTTTATTCTAAATTTACTCTACCTTGTCTAGTCTCTCATCTGGAAATCTTTGTACAATCCATGCAAAAGTTGTTCAAAAGTTATAAGTAAATAATCTTTAAAATTGTAATGAACATTAACTTCATTATTGTCTTTGTAGAGGTGAGAACCTATATTCAATTCTTGACCAATCATTAAAGTGAGAGACATTGTCCTGTGCCTCAGGGGAGAAGAAAATTGTCAGTATGACTTGTTTGTTAATTTTCCATTTCTTTTTCTAACTCAGACCTGTAGTGACTGGTCAAAGATACTGTGACAAATTGAAGTTTTAATAGGTATTATTAAGAAATAAACTGCTTTATTTACGTTACGTATCTCTAAGCTGGAAATATCTCTTTGCCGTTTTAGAATTGCAGAATGAGAACCATTTGATCAAAAATAATTTACAGGGCATAAAATCTGGACATGGTAACTAGGTCTGAGCAGTATAATATCTAAGAAATAGGAGTTGTCTTCCCTCCCTCCGCCCCCTCCTTCTCCCACTGGGAGTGTAAGTAAAATGGTGTTAGACTTCAGCTGCGCCAGAGTAAAACCAAACTGTCTCTCTCTGAGGATACCGCAGCCAAAAAGTTATCTAGGGGAGACAAAGATGATACTTGTTTTCCTGGCCCAGTCTTTTGGAGCTCACCCAAATGAACTAGAGTGTGTTAAAGCTAAGTGCTCTCTTCCCTCCCCACCACCTGGAGCCTGCATCCATTCGGATGGAAAGGATTGCTCGCTGCAGATCCAGAATGGATGAGGAATACACGTTTCCCTACTAGGTATTTCTGCATTAGACCCCTGAAAAACTGTCACATAGAACTGAACTTTTACAAATTGTATGTCACCATCTCCGTTCCTCTGGCAGGTAAGGGCAAATATGCAAATACTGTCTGTAAGCTGAGGCTGTCAGTTGAATGCAGTTTGGTTTTTTTTATTTCTGTTACTTCACTTGGGGTTTTCAGATAGCTGCGTGACCGGCAGTGGCTTTCAGAAGAAAAAAATAATGCTAGAGTGGTTCTGATTCCTAAAAGCATTTTTTTTTCTACTTCCACAATTTAACCTGTATCATAGGATTCTCTTCTAGATCTGAGTCTTGCCATGATGGTGAGAAGCATTTAGGAACTTTTTCTCTCTCTACTTTATGAAATGGTGATGGAGGTGTACATAGTGGTACAGTCAACATAATAATATATATACCGTTAAGTACACCAAAATAACAAACACCAGTCTCATACATGTAAATTAGGCATTTCTTAAATGGGATCCATTTTCAAAGCAAAACAACTGCCTAAGCAATTTCTGTAAGGTAAATAATCATTCCTCATTAATACTTGTATCTTCATCGTAACATCTAAAAAGAAGAATGAACATAGCTTTCTTTGCCAATCAGTGTATTGCTCTAGCCTTGAATTCTCTACCTGAAGTTTAGTAGCTAACTGTAAATATATGTTTGCAACGAATACGTGGTATTTTGCTGGTCTGTATTTACATATCTCATCTTACAAAAAAAATTTTGAAATAGTAAGGTATTCCTCTTATGAGGACAGGCTGAAAGAGTTGGGGTTGTTCAGCCTGGAGAAAAGAAGACTGCGTGGAGACCTAATTACGGCCTTTCAGTACCTAAAGGGGGCCTATAGGAAAGATGGGGAAAATCTTTTTAGTAGGGCCAGCTGTGTCAGGACAAGGGGTAATGGTTTTAAACTAAACCAGGGTAGGTTTAGACTGGATATAAGGAAGAAATTCTTTACAATGAGGGTGGTGAAACACTGGAACAGGTTGCCCAGAGAGGTGGTGGAGGCCCCATCCCTGGAAGCATTCAAGACCAGGTTGGACGGGGCTCTGAGCAACCTGATCTAGTTAGTGGTGTCCCTGCTCACTGCAGGGGGGTTGGACTAGATGACCTCTCGGGGTCCCTTCCAACCCAAAACATTCTATGATTCTATGATCTTAATAAAAACAAAAACTTCTAAACTGTTTCTCTGTTCAATTTAAAATATACAGTGACTGATATAAGAGAATACCAGACATACACCATGTTATGCATTGGTTTAGAGTAAGTACTGGCTGTAATCGCTATATGTAGGACATTTACTGCAGCAATTTCTGCTTTATAGAAGACTTGATAATGAAAAGAATAAACTAGATCCTGTCAAAGGTTTCATTTCTCTTCCTCTGGCAATCCCACCTTCTCATGTTCAAATAAGTTTGGTATGTCCAGTAAATGAAAAGGTAAAGCTAGCTTATGAGCACTCAAGTGTAATTTCTACTTTCTGAAGTCAAATATTATTATGAAATATATTATTTTCAGTGTATCATTTTCTATCATTTTTCAGGTTTTACTGCCTATATTACATTGCAGTATTCACTTCACGAATGTTTATGCAAAATGCTTTACCAAAGGTAACATTTTAAAAAATCTTCAGGTGCACCTTTCCAGAATGATTTAAATGAAAAAAGTACAGGCTTGGAAACTGTTAAAACTTTCCTTACTTTCCATACACAGAAAGTTTTGTCTACAGAAAGTGCATGGAAGTGCAATAATTTTTTTGCCTTAATTTGAAGACCTGACAAAGAAATAATATTGATCAAACTACCAGAGAACAAATTCCTTATCTCATAAAGCAACCCTGTTGGTATTATTAAAAGAAACTAATACTCTCTGCTTTTCCAATTTTTTTTTATTTACTTTTAAACTTTTGATAAGAAATCAAATTCAAAATAATCTTGTTGTATATTTTCTTTTTTTAGGGGATAAATGCAAACCTACTGAATACAACAAAGTGAAAAATATGTTATTGGATCTACAAAATCGGAGATACATTGCACAATCAAAAGACAAAACTGTTGATGAGAAAATTGCTTTAAAGAAAATTCTTGTAGATGAGATGTTTAATTATTTTGATTCAGACAACAATGGACTTGTGGACACTAATGAATTATCTCAGGTAAGATTTAGATTTTGTTTCCGTTAGCACAGTAACTATTCATTTGTCTTTGTCAGGTCTTACACACATGTCTTAGGATGCTTTCACTTTAGAAAATATATGTGAGCCTCTGAGGTGGAAAACTTCATTCAAGAATTTTGGAAAAGCTGAGGTATTCAGAAATTATGCAGTGATTATTCAGAAATTTGAATACAGTTCTTTGGGATATATCTTAGGGGGTTAGAACAGTATAGGTTGCTTTGACTAGGAGTAGTTTCATTATCCACAGTGTGCTATTGTGAAGTCCAACTGTATAGATGTATTTTAGAAGTTGAAAAAATTAAAATTATATTTTAAATCACTTCTGTAATACTGAACAAGTTTTATTGCTTTATACAAATCAGGGCTAGAGAAATACAGAAGTAGTCTTAGAGAATTCATCGTAGTCTCTAAACAGTAAACTTTAACTAATGGAAGATCTAAACCAATAATTGTTGCTCTGGTAGGCATGACAGCACTAGCTTTAATCTACCTAGAAGGGTTAACTCTATTGAAGAATGTTGTTATGGTAAATGTACTTTGTTTTAGTAGATAATGTAGAAGTCCATGTTTGAGACACCTAACTGTGGCTGAGCTGTATTAATGAGTCTAACACTAGGTAGCCACCTAAAAATTCAAAATAAATAATATTTGTTAGATGTCACTGTTGATCAATATCCTATGTTTTAAGTTGCATGGCAGTGTTAAGAAATATTTACAAGTGAATGTATAGTACCTAAATTGTTAGGCTGGAGTTATCATTTCTATACAGTTACCTTCTAAATTTTTAGTGGCAAATTCCAGGACCAGAGGCTGCATGCAAACATAGGTATCATTTCAAATAATTTAAATTATGCACTTAAAAAAAAAATTAAAAATTAATTTTATGTACTTTATAAGATTGGGAATTTCCTGCTGGTTTTTTAGCCTCTTTCAGAACTTCAGCTTTCCTTGGAATTTGGTGCCTGTATATATTTTACAAATAATACTTTTTTTTTTCATCAATATGCTATATGAATACATAACAGACATAGGAGTCACAGATACAGATGTGCACTTATTATTTAATGTTTATAGATGTATGTCACTAACACTTGAAACAGTGTGATAGTGATTAGTGTATTTGTTGGCAGTCTAAAGAAACTGAATTTTAAATCCATCATTACCACTTGAAAATAGCTTGACTTTGTTGCCATAACACTCACAAAACTACTGTAAAATAGTTGAATACTTTCACCACTGCAATCCATTATTTAATTATCAGTGAATCGTGTTCTTTTCCTTAGAGGAGCAGGACTAAAGTACTAGCCCTGAAGGTCAGTATCAAAAATACTTTGCAGAATTTCCAGGTTTGTATAAAGAAACAATTCTTTTCTATTCAGTTGCTACATGTATACTTTTCCTCTTTCCTTTATTTCTTTGTGTCAAACTTAGTTTAAAAAAAAAAAATTAAAAAATCCATTATGGTGTTTTCAAACTTTCCGTACATACTTTTCCCACATACATTTTTCCTACTAAAATTACTTTACAATTGCCATTGTAAAGTATCGCTTTTTCACAAGTATGGGAACAGGTCAAACAGTCTTAAAACCCAAACATGGTGCTTTGTGGTTTTGCTAGAATTCATTTGCTAGGACATCAAATTATTCAATCTAAAGAATAATGTAAAATAAATTCATTGTTAGTGCTGTGTGGTTTGTTATTGTACGTTTTGCAAGAGACACAACCAGCTAATCTGTTGCCCTCAGAAATCGTTCTTCAGTCAGTCTGAATAGAGAAGAAAAAAAGAGAAGCTATACCTGTTTCTCATGAAGCCTTCTTGATAGCAGAACCTTCAGCTGAGAACTTTTGTCTCCCTTTCAGATGACAAAAGGAAACACTGAATCGCCTTTGCGAAACACAGAATAGTATATGGCTTTGCAGTTAAGAACTCAGCTCCTGTATAATCTCAGTATTTGTAAATCTTTGCCTTCATCTGATAGAGGAAGATTTTAGTCTGCATGTTTACTGAAAACAAACCAAGTACATGACTTGTCGTCTTAAGTCTTCACAGAGAACCAAGTTAAAAGAACTCAGAACAATATCTTTAAATGAAATACACTGGGTTTGATAGCATTATCTTTGATTGTTGAAAACTCAACACTTTTTTTTCATCCTCCTGTAGTTTAGCTCAATGAATTTTTTTTGTTCTTGTTGAACATAAATCAGGGCTGTTTTGCAAGGTGGGATTAGACTCTCGCTCTCTTCTGCCCTTAGTGTATATGATAGCTCTCAGTGTTTCTAAAACTTGGAATTGCAGTAGTAGGAGAAAAGAAACAAAAATACCTCATCTTGAATACACTACCTGGAGGGTGATATTCATAGTGTGAGAGATGTCCCTGCCACTGAGAGAATGCTGGGCCCGTTAACTTTCTTGAGAATGTGATTATTGAGGGGCAAGGTGTGGTGGTGGTGGTGGAGGAATGTTAGAAAAGTCTTTGAACTTCCCCAGGGCTGAATGGGAGACGTTATTGTACTCTTGAAAATGTACTCAGGATTTAGGAGAATTTTTCTCAGTTGCACTCATAATACAGCCACAACTTTGAAATCTGCAGACCTGTCATAACTAATACTGCATGTCTCCATTTTAAATTTAATCATATTATGGGAATACAAAAAATAACATATTTGTTGTAGAAAACAACAAGGACTCCTGAAGTTAATTTATATTCACATGAATATTGAACTTCAGTTTTTAGTGCACCTTGAATTTTATATCTCCTCAATCTTGCTGTGCAATGAGTGCAATTAGGCTCTTGGATTGCACTTTATTATCTCATAGGTGTCATCCTACATAATGTAAAATTTCAATGAATCCGTTGGAGATTGGAAATTGTGACAGCAACACTCCAATTTTTATTGATGTATTTTGGATCAGAAATCATAAGGTTCTTGCATTTGCGTCTTGATGCAAGAGAAATGAATATTCCTTTCCAGAAAAGGAAAAAATAGTGCTTTTTATTAAAAAAGCTATTTCAAATAGTGAAAAAAAATTTAAAAAATATTTTAGGTATTGTAACAAATTAAAAATTGGCAGGCTATTTTTTTTTTTCCTTTAATATGAACAATTCTGGCATCTGGGTATAACTTTTTTCATGGCTTTGTAGTCTAATACAGAATTACACTTAATAAATAATTTTACCTCCATTACACAATGTAAATGTAGTCTGCAGTGAAGGTAGAAAAGTGGTGGGATTATGTAGCTCCATGCAGGCTAAGTGAATGTTTTTTTTCCAAGGTAAATTCTTCTCTGACTTGACTGTTTTCACTGCTGAGCCTAACTCATTTAATGTTCTAGTTTCCAAATCCTATATTGGCAAGTCAGATGTGGCTTGATTTTGAAAGGACTTACTGATGAAGTTAGCCTTTTAGACCACTCTTGTTTTAAGAGGTAGGTACTAATCAGAAAGAGCATCTGCCCTTCCAAAAGGGTGGGCTATGAAATAAGCAGAATTTTCATCAATTTCGTCACCTCCGGTCTAATGTAAATGCAACATATCTTCAAGATTTCTAGTAAAATGGAGTGGTTCCTTGAAGGGTTTGGTTTGTTTTTAAAGCCCTTTGAAAGAATTTAAATGAATCCCAGATGAAGGAAGGTAATTGATTCTTCTGGTTAGCTATGAATATTCAGTTGTTAACAGACTCACTTGTTTATCTACTGTCTTTTATCTTATGGAAAAACAAACTGAATTTAGTACAAAGTTATACGTGGAACGTCAGTGTTTCAATTGCTGTAGACTGCTTGATTACTCTATATTATTGTTGTTGTATAGAAGAGAAGAAACACCAGAAGTGTTATGGGGAGGCATGGGAACAAAATGTGTTTTTCCAGTGATGAATGCGGTTATTCCTGTATGGTGGAATTGCCATTTTATAAACAGTAAGCCTTTTCTAGGTGCCATCAGTGAAAGATACATAAGCTCTAAGAATACTTAATCTTGCTCAACAGTGAAATTCAAGTTCCTTCTGTGTGTGAAAGTGAAATAAGCTATACTTGATTAGACTTAGAGCTGTTTTCCTTCTATTTATTTTTTACACTAGTGAGCTAAGAAAGCAAAATTTGATGGAAAAGGGAAGTGACATAGTTTGAAAGCAAGATGAATATAAAAGAATAATAAATTTTCCTCCTCTTTTCCTGCTTTTTAATGATCTATTTTCTGGAGTCAAGGAAAGAATTTAGCATCCTTATTTATGAAATAATATCTGTAATTTCAGTTATTACCTGGATATATTTCTGTTATTTACCAGGTTAACATAAGAAAAATGAAAATACATCACATTTTTATAAAAACTCGTCCTTACTTCTGCATTTTATTTTGATGTTTTCTCAGTGTCATTTAATTCCAGTTAGTGACACCAAACAAAAACAATTAAGAAAGAGCCAAAAGAACCACTCGCTCTCAGGAAACTGTACTAAGTTCATCATTGTTTCAAGGAATGATAAGTGGAAGTTATGGGAACTACTCTAAGATTAAATATGCCATTTTTACGTATCAGTTTAATATGCTTCAATTGCAGGTGACATCAGAAATATCAGAAATACGGGTTTCTCATAAAGTGTAATGAACCTTTGAATAATGTTACGTTCCCATGTGTGTTTTCAGATGAGTACGCAAGGTTGGGGTGTGGGCATGTGTATATATATATATTGCATCTTTGCATAACGCATCAATTCAAAAGTTCTAATGCAAAATGTACTAAGAAACAACACATTTTCAATAGGAAACAAAGTACTGCTGTCTTTATGGCTAAGTGTATGTATGTGTACTTATCCGTAAATCTCAGAAATATGCCATACCTTAGAAGAATACACTCTCTGTAGATGAGTAGAGCTGTAACTATAAATGGCTTGGCTACTATATATTACCTAAAAAAATGTAATTTGAAGGAATTATACATTTAATTAGTTTGTTTAATGCAGCATTAATTGCTGTTAAAGGTAT